TTATATGATGATGCTGTACTACACTGGTGACAGTATGTAAAACAAAATAGTGAAAATAGTTTTTTTTAATTTAGTAATTTTCCGAAAAATGATGACAAAAAAATTACAACTTCAAAAAACTCACCATGCCTCTTATGAAATACGTCGGACTGTCTACTTTGCAAAAAGTAAAGCCCATTTCTTTGATGCTGCATATATTTGTTACGCGGCCATAAAGGGTGTTAATGAATTAATTTTTTTAGTCAATCAAATCAAAGTGCATGTAAACGTATGTAGCGCTGCCCCCATAGGAACCGCTGGTTTGCCCCAGGTTCCTTTCCCAGTTTAGTGCAGGGGCATCCAGACACATTGCAACAATAACTCTTTCTGTCTCAATGCACAGTCTATGGCTAGGGTGTCAAACTGGTGGCCCTCCAGCTGCAAAACTACAAGTCCTTTGTCTTTGGGAGTCATGCTTGTAACTGTCAATCTTGCAATGCCTCACGGGACTTGTAGTTTGGTAACAGCTGGAAGGCTGCCAGTTTGACACCTGTGATCTAGGTGATTGTCTTTTTGATGCTTTATTGCAACTTGAATTTGGATAGGGTGCAGGCAGCTGTGGGATACTCCAAAAACTTTCTACAGTAATATGAGGACACTTTTCCATTTGGCAAAGCTTCTTAGTTCATTCCCTCCAGTATGCAGCTAAGGGAATGAGTAACTCTTGAGACACTTTAGGAACTGTCCCAAATTTGAGCAAGCGCTGACACTGATGCACAAAGAGTAGTAGCAGCACCGTCACTAGGATCCTACATTCAGGTCTGTACTCACAATGTCCCTGGATACTTGGATACCTCCTTCTACTATCAGACAGACATTTGTGAACTCTCCAGACCAGATCCTCAGGGAAATCCCTTAGACAGTTCCAGCAAATAGGCCTCCTAGCTCTAGCATAGCTGGGACCTCGATAAGCTTCTCCAAGAACATCAGCTGCACTGTCCTGAAGGGCACCACCAAGGAAACTTCTCCTCCTGGACAAGAACCTGGCAGTTCCTGACCCCAAACTATTTATGCATTTCCCCAGCCACCTTCTGAGCATACTCCCCCAGGGATTGGATGAGATAGCATAAATATTCAGGTTGCCAAAAGGCACCTGAGGGACTCTCAGACCACGAGAAACAAAACTCTCTGGTATGATGAAACAAAGATTGAACTCTTTGGCCTGAATGCCAAGCATCATGTCGGGAGGAAACCAGGCACCGCTCACCACCTGGCCAATACCATCCCCACAGTGAAGCATGGTGGTGGCAGCATCATGCTGTGGGAATGTTTTTCAGTGGCAGGAACTGGGAGACTAGTCAGGATCGAAAAAAAGATGAATGCAGCAATGTACAGAGACATCCTTGCTGAAAACCAGAGCGCTCTGGACCTTAGACTGGGGCGACGGTTCATCTTTCAACAGGATAACAGCCCTAAGCACACAGCCCACATAACAAAGGAGTGGCTACGGGCCAACTCTGTGAATGTCCTGGAGTGGCCCAGCCAGAGCCCAGACTTGAACCTGATTGAACATCTCTGGAGAGATCTGAAAATGGCTGTGCACCGACGCTCCCCCACCAACCTGATGGAGCTTGAGAGGTACTGCAAAGAAGAATGGGAGAAATTGCCCAAAAATAGGTGTGCCAAGCTTGTAGCATCATACTCCAAACGACTTGTGGCTGTAATTGGAGCTAAAGGGGCTTCAACAAAGTATTGAGCAAAGGCTGTGAATACTTATGTACATGTGTTTTTTTTTTGTTTTTATTTTTAATAAATTGCAAAGATTTCAAAACTAACTTCTTCCATGTTGTTTTTATGGGGGTATTGTTTGTAGAATGTTAAGGGAAAAAAATGAATTGATTCCATTTTGGAATAAGGCTGTAACATAACAACATGTGGCAAAAGTTAAGCGCTGTGAATATTCTCTGGATGCTCTGTATTTATATTTTTATACACGGCTCAAAATAATGAAAGGAAGACTTTGAAAAACCCATCAGATCTCAATGGGGAAAAATCTCCTGCTGGATATCTATACTGACATGGACGGGGTGATGTGTTAGGAAGGTAAGGATGCCCCATTATTTGATGGAAATGAAAATGATCGACCTACAGAGGACTGAATTCAAAGACACCCCGAAAATCAAAGTGAAAAAAGTATACAGCAAGCGAGTCCATTTTGCTGAAATTTAATTGCAGCAACTCAGAATGGTCCTCAGTAGTTTGTATGGCCCCCATGTGCTTGTATGCATGCCTGACAACATCGGGGGAGGCTCCTAATGAGTCTGTTTTTGATTGGTCAGAGACATTCACACCAGTGGCCTGCTGGGGGTCATTTTGTAGGGCTCTGGCAGGGCTCATCCTGTTCCTCCTTGCACAAAGGAGCAGATACCGGTCCTGCTGATGGGTTAAGGACCTTCTACAGCCCTGTCCAGCTCTCCTAGGGTAACTGCCTGTCTGCTGGAATCTCCTCCATGCTCTTGAGACTGTGCTGGGAGACAGCAAACCTTCTGGCAATGGCAGGTATTGATGTGCCATCCTGGAGGAGTTGGACTGCCTGTGCAACCTCTGTAGGGTCTAGGTATCACTTCATGCTACCAGTAGTAATACTGACCCTAGCCAAATGTAAAACTAGTGAAAAACAGTCAGAAAAGATGAATAGGGTAAAAAATGTCAGTGGCCTCCACCTGTAAAACCATTCCTGTTTTGGGGGGTCGTCTCATTGTTGCCCATCTAGTGCACCTGTTGTTAATTTCATTAACACCAAAACAGCTGAAACTGATTAACAACCCCCTCTGCTACTTACCTGACAAGATCAATATTCCAGGAGTTTAATTGACTTGATGCTATACTTTTGAATAAAAAGTGTTCCCTTAATTTTTTTTTACACAAAGATCCCTCCCCTCTCAGCTTTGCCACCAATCACGAGTCCCGACTGGGAATTGCTGTCCAGGACCTGGTGATTGACATCCTCAGGAGCCAATAGTAATGTGGGTAGGGCAGTACGCGCGCGCCCCCTACCCGGAAATGCAAAACCACGTATATTTACATGATTTTGCACAACATGGATGCAGTACGTCTGTTATGGGGCAGTCTTGAAGTGGTTAAAAATGGGCCCATCCTGATGTACTGACTGCTTATCTTATGTTTGAGCCAATAAAATGCCAGCTCAGTACAAGTAGCCCCCAAGTGCAGGGTATTTAGGAAGAGGCAAGGTTAGCTTTTTGAAGTTTACATTTTTTGTCACAATTTTTTGGAAAATGAAGAAATTAAATACTTTTGTTTTAAGAAGTTACACACAGCATAATTAAACCCCAAAACACATTCTGCTATGCTTCCCGAGTATGGGGATACCACACATGTGAAACTTTTTTCACGGCCTAATGCAAAGGAGACCAAAATCCAAGGAGCACCTTTAGGCTTCAAAGGGGGCAGTAATTACGCATCTAATTTTCTGACTACCTATCACATTTCTTCAATCTCTAAACTGTCAGGATCGGAGAAACACCCAAAAAATGACCCCATTTTGAAAAGAAAACACTCCAAGGTATTTTCTAAAAAGGCATAGTTAGTCTTTTGAAACAAATTTTTTGCCAAAGGTTTTTGAAAAATGCAGGAAAGAAAATGAAAATGTACTTTTTTTTTTTTTAACACACAAAGTTGTCAACGTAAAAGATATTTCTAACACACACATCATAGGCATACTTAGAATTACACCCCAAAACACAATCTGCTACACTTCCCGTGTATGACAACACCACGTGTGTGAGACTTTTTCAAAGTCAAGCCACATAGATGGGCCCAAAATCCAAGGAGCACCTTGGATCCTTCTTTATTTTTCTGACTACCTATCACATTTTTGGTAGCCTTGGAGCACCAAGGATAGTAAAAACACTGGAACTGGTGTGGAGGTGATCAGGGACACTGTGACTCATGCAGGGGTGATTAGGGACACTGTGACTGGTTCAGCCTGATGACATTGTACTGTTGTGGTGGTGATCAGAGAAAACGCCTGGCAGCCCTGCCATACAGTATTATCAAAGCAGCAAGCCATTGTACACGATCATCGCTTAGCAGTACAATGTTTTCATAGTGACACTGCACTTGCTGTACACAATGTCTTCATAGTGACAGTATGTAAAAAAAAAAAAGTATAACATTTTATTTTAAAATGTTTTTTTTTCTTTTACAAAGTGTCACTATAGTGCCAACACAGCCACATCATTCATTCACAGAGTTCTGTGAATGAATAGACTACAAGTACTTACAGCCTTTGTGGCTGACAGCTTGTAGTTCTCAATGAACTATGAGAGTGCACTGGTGAGCATCCTTGTAGTTCATTGATTCTTCCTGGACTGAAGTTATTGCCTGCCTGTATCGGAGGTATGGGCAGACGGCTACAATGACAATCTGCAGGAGCCTGACATTGCACCCAATGCTTTACAGGCTCCTAAGAAAACAAAAAAAGCAGTAAATGTCTAGTATGTGTATGTATGAATGTGAGTTAGGGATCTTAGACTGTACGTCCCTTGAGGGCAGGAACTGATGTGAATGTACAATATATGTAAAGTGCTGCGTAAATTGACGGCGCTATATGCAGTAAGCACCTGTAATAAGAATAGAATAAAAAAGTGAACTTATCCTTTCAAAACCAGAAAATTTAAATTCTCAGATCTGACTTTGACCTTTAGGTCTTGGCAAATTTTGAAGAAACTTGTATCAACCACTGGTTTGTTTTTAACTACAAAAAAGAATTTTATTAAATGAATGTCTGTTCTAAACTGCTTTATAGACAAAAGAAAATGCAATACAGATACCACAAAAGGCTGTGTCCTAATGCGAGCTGAGGTGTAATGATGGTTATGAATCGTCCGTTGGAATTTTCCTGATGCAGATTTGGAATCTGCGACATTGTGTCAGTTGTTACATTGCAGGACATTTAGACGCCTGCCATTGCGCCGCTGTGGAGAGCGTACAGCTCCAGTCACCGTCTTGGTTTTTTTGTGTGCAATCTTTGGTGAGCTGCCAGTTGACATCTCTCCTGGGAAGTGCTCGTTACACTGATGGCACCAGTGCTCGTTTGCTTTCGCCGGCCTCTTTGATCCAGTCTGGTCTGATCCCGAGCCATCGGATTTTATGTTGGGGGCTTTGTCAGAAGAGAGGTTGCGAGGACACTGGAGCAGCAGCGGTTTCTTGGAATATGTCTTCTGGGTCCATCCCTGGGATCTGGGAACATCTTCTGGTATAAAGCAGGATGATGTGGTTCCATCTTGTGCTATCCAGAGCTCAGAGCTCTCTGATTGACGAAAATCATTCCTCATGCCCCATCTATGGTGGACCTCTGCTGCCAATGAGAATGCACAGAGTATTATCTATACTTGGGGGGTAAGTGTAAGGATTAACTTCTTCCTAATCTTCTTCCTAGTCTTCTATCTAACCTGCTGTGTAACACTATGGACGTTTCAGATACTACTTGTGATAATCAGAGCTGATATCTGGCTAAGGAACTGTAAATGTATCTATTCAGACTATTTTTGAACTTCTTGTTCTATAAAAGCTGAAGGTGAATTCTGACCTTACTTTAGGCATTGTACAGTCAGTCTCGGCCTTAAAATATTTCTACGGTTACAAACTGCATTGGAAATCAGGTACTTTATGATACAATTATCTGTAATACTTTACTTTGCAAATCATTCTCTGTGTTGCTGTGGATCCTCTTTGGATTTTTGGCCCAGTGGGTGTCACTAGGGTAGGTGTCACCTAGTGCGGTAAAACATGATGTCACCCCCCCCATCTTGTCCTCTCCCCCCTCATCTTGTGCAGCCCCCCACCTACTTAACCTCGTGCAGATTTCCTTCCCCCCATATCCTGTGCACCCCCCTCACCTTGTGTAGCTTCTCCATCTCTCCCTTGCCCCCTCCTCACCTTGTCCTCCTCCTCCCATACTTGTGTATCCCCCCTCTCACCTCATCCTGTGCTGCTTCCCCTCTGCCCCTTACCTTGTGCTCCCCCTCTTCCCTTTGTGCATCCCCCACTTTGTGGAACTTACACATTGCTCCTCTTTGTTCCTCCCTCCCCCAGTGCCCTCCTCCCCGAAAATAAACACACACCTTGTGCAGCTTCCACATGGCCCCATAGCCTTGAACCTGTGGCTATGGTGCCAGACCTCCTTCAGCACATGGGGTCTTACACTGGTTCTCCAGCTCGTGGTGGGCGGACCAAGGCAGTGTTTTCCAGCGGTCCCAGGACAGATGACAGTGGGGGAAGGAGGGCTCACAGTAAAAGTTGCACTGCTCACGCATGACATGGCCTCCTTCAGGTTCTTCTCAAACAACTTACACTGGAGCGTGGGTGCCTTGTTCTAATGCTAGCTCTCCCTGATCCCAAGAGAAGGGAGAGCTGACACTGTGGGCATATCAAGCACTGGTGGCAGGGAGGGGAGAGCAGGGTTGGCGTAGGGCAGGCATGGCTGGGGTAAGACCTGCACTCCTGGCAATGGCGCCCCTCTCATTGTGGCACCTGGGGCACATGCCCCCCCCCCCCCTTAGTTTCAGACCTGGTGTCTCCTTTGTGTCAGGTGTCACCCAGGTGCGGTCCCACACCCCCCCCCCCCCCCGCACCCCCATAGCGACACCACTGTCTTGGCCCAGTTGAGTTTAAGCCCTTCCTGTAAGTTCTGACACTAAGCCCCCGCCCCCAGTCATTCAACTGCTTAATGTTAGGACATGGGGTAAGTAGTAAAGGCTTTGCCATTTAAACGTTGAAAGACAGGAGCGGAGCTTAGCGTCAACTTGGTCCACCATGTTGAGTCACTATGTCCAGCCTGAGCCAAGGAAGATCCAGACAGACATGGAGATTGATTGAAGTAGAGGTACTTTATACATATTTTAGATCAGTTCGAGATCACTTTTTTTTTTTTTTTTTTTTATATGGTTGAAGTGGATGGACTTTTGTCTTTTTTCAGCCAGACTAAGTATGTAACTATGATGTTCCAAAAGGAAAGCCTGTTCTAAGAGGATTTCCCTCATTTTGGAGACATATCTTCTCACTGAGAGCAAATTTTCCAAATGGAACACAGGTAGCAAAACCTGATCAGGGTCTTAACTATTTCCATCCAGACTTGTAAAAAAAAAAAAAATCTTTGGCTTTGGATACACTATAACAAGCCAGTTGAGTTTAGTATCACCTTGTGTGTTACCTTTGGAGGGATCCTTCCTCGGAGGGGGGTCACAAGGCAGCTCTGTGGTGATGTCACCTGAAAACAGAAATTGAGAAGTATGTATAAAAGAAAAGCTGTGGAATGAATCATGGTGTCCCTTTAATGTAGCTCCTAATACTGAGCCCACAGCAATGAAGTGTGTGTGTTGGGGGGTCTGTTGTATGCAGTATGATTGACACTTTGCATTGTATACCCTCCTGTAACCTTGATCAAGTATCGCTTTTTGTTTTATTTTTTAAATTTTTCAGAAACAAGAATAAACACTGAAAGAATGAAAGATTTATGAATTGGAGAAGAATCCTTTGAATAATCTGGTACAAAAAGTGTGGCAAAATGGAAAACATGGAGTAACCCTTTTAAAAATGGGTCTGGAAATGTGAACTGTCTGTGCTGTCTGGTGAGTGTGCATTTTCTCACCAGTGGAGTTTTCTGTCAAGTAAGTGTCCACATTTTCCTCCTTCTTTATGAATTTTTCATCTTCAGCTGCTAAACAAGAAAAAAATGGATTAGAAGACAGCAATGTACAAATGTACCTACAAGATACCTGGAAATCACTGAAGCCTCCAAAGACTTCAGACAATTCTGTCCACCTGGGCTGCCATGGTTTGGTGACTTATCTTATGTCTGTAGGCCCAGGGCTGCTGGTAAGGTAGTACAGCCAGCCCTACTGTACTGGGCCCTATCAGTTCAAAAGTGGGGCCTGGGCAGGAGGGCGCAGTAAGGGGGGGGGGGAGCTGTTGGTGGAAGCATAGCACCCTGGCCGTGGTATTTTAGAGAAAATATTCCCCTTTTGCGCATATGCAAGGGGGTAACAACATTTTGTAGAAATTGTGTGCATAACATTAAGACAGGATTGTCAGGTTGATGAGGGCCCAAATTAGCGTGACGGTGACATTTTGCAACTCGCCCCTTCTTGAGGAGAAAACCCCTCTCAAACACGTTTCATCCTGACGGGCTTAAAGTGGTTCTAAAGGTCCAAGGTTTTTTACATTAATGCATTCTATACATTAAGGTAAAAAAACCTTCTGAGTGCAGCTCCCCACCCCAGCCCCCCCCCCCCCCCCCCCTGCTTATACTTACCCAAGACTCATCTCGATCCAGCGATATGCATGAGAACAGCGGCTCTCCAGGTATCTCTCTCTTCATTGGCTCACACAGCAGCTGGAGTCATTGGCTCCTACTGCTGTCAATCACAGCCTGTGAGTCAATGAGGAGAAAGCAGGAGGCCGAGCTGCGATCTGTGTGTGAATGGACACATAGAGCGTGGCTCGGGAGCGAGCCTGCTCAAGTGCTCCCATAGGCTTGCTATTGGGGGCCCTCGGCACGGGGGAGGAGCCAGGAACACCAAAAATAAGAGGATCGAGGCTGCTTTGTGCAAAAACCATTGCTTAGGGCAGGTAAGTATGACATGTTTTTGTTTTTTTTGTTTTTTTTCTTTTTAAATTAAAACCTTTAGAATCATTTTAGGAAAACAGTAGCCGCAAAATCAGAAGAAGTGCAGAATGAAAACCCAACTCCCCAATCCTTAGCAATAAACCCAATTAAGATCTGCAGTGTGAACTGACTGTGGTGTGTCTGGTGGGCATCTCTTGTAGAATTCGGAGTTTGCGAAGCGTCCATGTTTTCTTCCTTCTTCAGAGACTCTTTTCTGCTTTGCTTCACTGCTGAATTAAGAACAAGAAATGAGGCCGTTGCCCAGCAACGTGGAGGAAGGATGGATCAATAGCAGATTGTCAGAATCTCACCGTGTGTGGTGGAATCGGGGTTGGATTTGCGCTGTTTCTGTCTTTTGAGAGTAATGGATTGCTTGGCTGGCACATTCCGAAGCCCTTTACAATCTGGGAAAAAAAAAAGTTACAAAATATGAATAATAAAACTTGCCATACACAAGCATTTTATTCATCCAGATAACTCGATACACACAACACAGGACGCATATGGAAAACTCTAATGCTGCAGCTATTGTACAGGGGGCCTTCAAAAAGTCTCCGCACTTTTATACACACACACACACATATATATATATATTATTATGTTTCATCTTGACGGGCTTAAAGTGGTTCTAATATATATATATATATATATATATATATATATATATATATATATATATATATATACATATATATACATATACACAGTTGCAAGAAAAAGTATGTGAACCCCTTGGGATTACGTGGAGTTTTGCATGAATTGGGCATAAAATGTGCTCTGAACGTCATCTAAGTCACAACAATAGAAGAACACAGTCTGCTGAACATAATACTACACAAACATTAGATGTTGCCATGGTTTAATTGCACATAACATGTAAACATTCACAGTGCAGGGAGGAAAAAGTATGTGAAGCCCTAGCTTAATGACTTCTCCCAGAGCTATTTGGAGCCAGGAGTGAGCCAACCTTGACTCCAATCAGTGTGATGATATTGGATGTGTTGCTGACAGCTGTCCTGCCCTTAAAAAACACACACCTGTTTTGGGTTTACTGGTTTCAAGAAGCACTGTCTGATGTGAACCATGCCTCGCAGAAAAGAGCTCTCAGAAGACCTACGATCAAGAATTGTTGACTTGCATGAAGCTGGAAAGGGTTACAAAAGTATCTCCAAAAGCCTTGATGTTCATGTGTCCATGGTAAGACAGACTGTCTACAAATGGAGAAAGTTTAGCACTGTTGCTACTCTCCCTAGGCGTGGTCGTCCTGTAAAAATGACTGCAAGAGCACAGCGCAGAATGCTGCATGAGGTAAAGAAGGATCCCAGAGTGTCAGCTAAAGACCTACAGAAATCTCTGGCACATGCTAACATTTTTGTTGACACATCTACAATCAGGAAAACATTAAACAAGAATGGAGTACATGGGAGGACACCACGGAGGAAGCCATTGCTGTCCAAAAAGAATATTGCAGCACGTTTGAAGTTTGCAAAAGAGCACCTGGATGTTCCACAGCACTACTGGCAAAATATACTGTGGACAGATGAAACCAAGATTGAGTTGTTTGGGAAGAACACACAACACTATGTGTGGAGAAAAAAAAGGCACAGCACACCAACATCAAAACCTCATCCCCACTGTGAAACATGGCGGAGGGAGCATCATGGTTTTGGGGCTGCTTTGCTGCCTCAGCGCCTGGATGGATTGTTGTCATTGATGGGAAAATGAATTCCAGAGTTTATCAAGACATTTTGCAGGAAAATGTACGACCATCTGTCCGCCAACTGAAGCTCCGCAGAGGATGGGTGATGCAACAGGACAATGACCCAAAGCATACAAGTCATTCAACAAAACAATGGCTGCAACAGCACAGAATACGCCTTCTGGAGTGGCCCAGTCAGAGTCCTGACCTCAACCCGATTGAAATGCTGTGGCATGACCTTAAGAGAGCGATTCACACCAGACATCCCAAGAATATCGCTACACTGAAACAGTTTTGTGAAGAGGAGTGGTCCAAAATGACTCCAGATCGTTGTACAGGTCTGATCTGCAACTACAGGAAACATTTGGTTGAGGTTATTGCTGCCAAAGGAGGGTCAACCAGTTATTAAGTCCAAAGGTTCACATACTTTTTCCTCCCTGCACTGTGAATGTTTACATGTTATGTGCAATTAAACCATGGCAACATCTAATGTTTTGTGTAGTATTATGTTCAGCAGACTGTGTTCTTCTATTGTTGTGACTTAGATGACGTTCAGAGCACATTTTATGCCCAATTCATGCAAAACTCCACGTAATCCCAAGGGGTTCACATACTTTTTCTTGCAACTGTATATATATAATTTTTTTTTTTTTTTTGCTTTCCTGCATTCATTTGTATACATGACCAAACAAAGTTTTAAAAGCATTACCCAGCCACAAAGTAAAAATGTAAACCCAATCACTAAAATCCTATACAAGCTATAACACAATATTGTCATTACAAAAGCCATTTTTAATATTTTTTTAAAGCTGCATCTTTCATTAAAATAATCCCCGTGGTGATCCTGCCATTTATTACCTTATTCAGGAACGTCCTGCTTTAGGGTGACAACACTTTGTCCTTTTCTCCCAACTGTTCTCCTTCTTTGTCACAAACTGGGGGTGGGGGAGATTAACTAAACCTGCATAGTGCAAAATCTGATGCAGCTCTGCATATAAACCAATCAGCTTCCAGGTTTTATTGCTGAAACTTAATTGAACAAACTGAAGTTAGAAGCGGATTGGTTACCATGTACAGCTGCACCAGATTCTGGATGCTCCAGTTTTAGTAAATCTCCTCCAGTGGTTCTAGTAATATTATGTCAATAAATTAGATATCATTCCTAACATTTAAAAAAAGTAATCCCCGATACACAGAATCCACTGATATTTCTGTATCTTCCGATTGGACGTTTGGTTCCCTGTGGATCTGTCCTCTCATCTACAACAGATACATTTGTTTCCTGCCCGGCTGAAGTGTTACCTGCGCTGCGGCCTGTGTTGGCGATTGGCTGTTGCAGGGATGGTGGAGTCTTTTCTTGACAGCTGCCTGCAATGAAAACACATCAAGGATGAGATAAAACCGAGTAATAATGGGAATTCTTCATATGTATCCAAACTTGTCACATCTATGAAGAAATCAGCAGAGTATTTTCTGTTCTCTCTCCTCCCAGTTCTTATTCTTTCTGTTGAAACTCCACAATTTGTATTTTTTTCATTTACATTCCCCTGCCCCATGCACCCTGGTAATTGCAGCAATTTTCACTTACCCTCTCTTCCTCCATGGTCCAGCGCTGGCAATGTTGTTCAGGACAACAATCTGTCATTCTGCCCGTTTCCTGTGAGCCCAGCCTGCCATTTCCACCCCTATCTCCCCAGGGGGCGCTTCATCACGCAGGCTGGGATTACTGTTCTCCAGGACTGAGCAGTGCTCACATGTCACTGTATCAGGAAGATGCCTGTTTGCTGTAACTGCTTATAAAGCGTGAGCTGGAATTTAGCTTCGATTTGTTAGTGTATCTAAATCTGCTAGTACAGCTAACATTCCCCTTCCACGCAGACTGACAATGCTGCTGTCCAAAGGTGCCCCCGGTGCTCCTTCATCTAGAGTGGGGGCTAATACAAGGAGGTGTGTTACTGGTCAGATCACCAGGTGAAAACAGAGGTGGAAAAAGAAAGTTAATGCAGCCATCACATCTAATGATTGGTTGACATGCAACTAGCAGATTACATATTTCCCGATTTAAAGTTGTCTCACAATATCTAACAATGAATTCCAAGCCTTGGTTAACCCCTTCCAGTCCGGACGCTTTCCCCCCCTTCCAGTCCGGACACTCCCCCCCCCCCCTTCCAGTCCGGACACTTTCCCCCCCTTCTTCCAGTCCGGACACTTTCCCCCCCTTCCAGTCCGGACACTCCCCCCCCCCCCTTCCAGTCCGGACACTTTCCCCCCCTTCCAGTCCGGACACTTTCCCCCCCTTCCAGTCCGGACACTTTCCCCCCCCCCACCCCCCCCCTTCCAGTCCGGACACTTTCCCCCCCTTCCAGTCCGGACACTTTCCCCCCCTTCCAGTCCGGACACTTTCACCCCCTTCCAGTCCGGACACTTTCCCCCCCTTCCAGTCCGGACACTCCCCCCCCCCCTTCCAGTCCGGACACTTTCCCCCCACTTCCAGACCGGACACTTTCCCCCCACTTCCAGACCGGACACTTTCCCCCCACTTCCAGACCGGACACTTTCCCCCCACTTCCAGTCCGGACACTTTCCCCCCACTTCCAGACCGGACACTTTCCCCCCCACTTCCAGACCGGACACTTTCCCCCCACTTCCAGACCGGACACTTTCCCCCCCCTTCCAGTCCGGACACTTTCCCCCCCTTCCAGTCCGGACACTTTCCCCCCCTTCCAGTCCGGACACTTTCCCCCCTTCCAGTCCAGGCCAATTTTCAGCTTTCAGCGCTATCACACTTTGAATGACAATTGCGCGGTCATGCAACTCTGCACCCATATGAATTTTTTAATATTTTTTTGAGACAGATAAAACTTTATTTTGGTGGTATTTATTCACCACTGGGATTTTTATTTTTTTGCTATATAAATGAAAAAGTCCAAACATTTTGACAAAAAAGTTTTTCTTATAAAATTTTGCAAATAAATAATCTTTCTTCATAAATCTTGGCCACAATGTATTCAGCTATCTTTTTAGAAAAAAAAAACAACCCAAATTAGTTTATAACCAAAAATTATAATTTAAAAATTTTTTTTTTACATGTTTATTGTATTTTTTTTATATTATTATTATTTTTTTTTAACATACCGTCACCCTAGCAGTACAGTGTCACCATAGAGTACTACTTGTGGGGGGTGATGAAGATTTTTTTTTTTTCACACTGATTGCTTTTACATCCATAAAGGCTGTAAAAGCAATCATTCTCCTTCTCTCTGGCTGCATTCTTGCAGCCATTGAGAAATACTATGTGAGCTGTGATTGATCACAGCTTGTCACATGGTACAAGGCAGTTGTGAATAGCCCTGTACCATGTGATCTCTGTGATGATTCACATATTTCACACATAGTAAGCAATGATGTCAGGAAGTGACATCTTGTTTACTACTATTCATGTGATCACTGATTGGCCAATCAGTGATCACATGATCGGAACCTCACACAGAGGTCCCGTACAGCAATCAGTGATGCGCGCTCCCAGACAGTGAATGCGGAAACGGCCACCCGCTCCTGCACTGCTCCCGTCTGACCGTTTATGTACATGGGCCGGACGGGAAGTGGGTTAAGGGGCCATACAAGGACAAAGTCCTTCAATACATTAGATTTTTGGTTTTGGGTTTAATACCGCTTTAATCCAACAGGCATCACTGGTGAAGGAAGCTATGATGCTTTCCAGCAAGTGCTGCAGCCATGTTTCCTGGATTTGTTGTATTTTGTCTTGCGCCTCATTATGGCTGCAGTGGGGGAGGGTCAGGGGTAAGACCAACGTCCTAATGGACTACTCATAGACTAGTAATTTAAAATGAGGTAGTCCTAAGGAGTGCAGAGTTGGGCGGAGCTGGGAATTCCCTGGCCCTGTGGTTTCTCAGGTGTTCCCAGACCACCAGAGGATTGCACACAGTGTGCTGGCCTGGTCTGCGCTTGTCCCGTTAGGGAGAACATATGAAAACTTTGGAGAGGCAGACTCCACCTAGTCTGTGCATCATGCTAAATTTTTGCTCCGCCTTTAATGACACATCATGCAGAATTGTAGACGCATGAATTTTCACTTAGAGCGTTACCTGCAACAGTATGGGATGCCGTGTCCTTTCCATCCTTGGGGCTCTCCAGCATCACCGGCTTATACAGGTCCTCGTGCTCCTCTATGTAGTCCCACTCCTCCATCGTGAAGAACATGGCCACGTCTCCGCATTTGATGGGAACCTGAAAGCCGCAGACTGTGCATCAGCAAGGCGGACAGGACGCAGGACATGTGACTGGTCATGTGACCTCTGCTCACCTCTCGGATCATCTGGTAGAATTTGCTGATGTGTGCGTTCTTCTTCACCACCGTCCATTCCTGAGCAACAAGGAGGAAGACAGGAGGTTCAAACAGACTGAAAGGAGAACTGTCTGTGTTGCCTATTACAACCAGTCATACTTCCTCCATAGTAAGCAGTAACCTGATAGGTGTTTATGTGACGTGTGAATCAATGTGCGTGAGAAACAATTATCTGTACTCGAGGCAGAGGATTTTCCACCAACAGCACTGTGCTCCATATTTCTTCCCTTTCCTTCCGCCTATGACAGACTTACTCATTTATCTTTTGTCTGTAATAAAAAAATTCCTCACTGTCATTTGGGATCCTGTCTCTTATATTTTTGGAATGAACCAAAATATTCATATCTATATTTCCCTTCCCCCATCTCTAGTGACCTGCGGGTGTCACTTAGACATGTGCAGAACGAAAAAAAAAAAATGTATTTCATTTTCATTCGTCATTTAAATAATTTAGTTTAGTTATATTCGTTAAATTTGATTTCAGAATTCCTTTAGTTTTGTTTATTCCTTTTCAAATTCAATTAAAAATGTTTTAATTTGGTCAAATTGGATTCAGTTCGAGCGAATTCAAAAAGATTTGAATTGCCATTCATGTTTATTCTATTCAAAATTCGGAAGACGGTTATATTTTATTTTACTCTCTAGTTTTTTTCTATTCTATTCTTTTATTTTCTATTCTGTTTTACTCTATTTGAAATTCGACTTTCAGAAGGCGGCTATATTCTATTCTGTTTTTCTATTCTAAAAAAAAAATAAATAAAGGGGGGGGGGGGGGCGAAATTCCTCTTTAAAATAGAACTTTAGGTTCCAAAGTAAAAATAAATTTTAATGCAGAAGAGACACGATTTGTCTCTTCTGCATTCAAGTTACTTACCTGCCTATGCGCCCCTGTAGAGTGAGCTGTGCATGCGCAGCTCACTGCTATACAAATTTGGCAACGCCGACTCTGACTGAACTCCCGCGCATGCGTGGAAGTGATGTAACCCCTGCCCGGCCAATGACAGAGGCAGGATGTCAGGCCCCGGAAGATGTCAGCAGCTGGGAGATCCGGGATGCCGCACCGCTAGATCGAAGGTGAGTATAGTTCTGCTTTCAGTTCCATTTTAAATTATTCATGCCCTAAAGAAGGAAATGCATTCACTTTAAAGAGGAACTTCAGTCCCTCTTTAGTGACTCCGCCACTCCTCCTTCGGCGACGCGATTACAGCATGAAGGTAGATGTGCTGAAGGGCTCTGCCCAGCCTTTTTTGCGTCCTGGCCGAGCTCTTTGGGACATCTGTGCACACGTGCCTCCTGCAAAGACAGCAAATGTTCAGGATTTCTATAATAGCTGTCTTTGCGCATGTGCAGATGCTCGGAGAGACCTGCACGTGCGGGTGCTCGGAGAGACCTGCACGTGCGGGTGCTCGGAGAGACCTGCACGTGCGGGTGCTCGGAGAGACCTGCACGTGCGGGTGCTCGGAGAGACCTGCACGTGCGGGTGCTCGGAGAGACCTGCACGTGCGGATGCTCGGAGAAACCTGCACGTGCATGGATCTGCCACAGAGCTCACTCAGGACCCAAAGCCCTGTGGCACATTTGCGCATGCTGGGAAGGGGGTATGGGGGACACAATAGTCATTCTCACCTAGACGAGTGACATATGTTGGGGGGGGGGGCAGGGCAATAGGACATGTAAGCTGGTCATACCCTATAGGATTTTATTAAAAAAAAACAAACTTACCAAGTCATCAAATGTACTGAAACTTTCCTACAAATGCTCGTTTGAAGATCGACTAGTGTATAGTTCAAGGTGAAGGTTGGCTTTAAGGACTGTCCAGCTAATGGCTTGTAATACCCCAACCCTGGACCCCTCTCACCTCTCCAGTCAGGATGGAGATGATCTCGGCAGTCCGGTTCAGCAGGCGGCTGGTCCTTTGCTTCTGGGGGCGGGTGTGAGGAACTTCTGCCATGTGTTTCAATAAGGAGATCTACAAGTGACAGGAACACAGCATAACATAATATATAGTGACTGTCTCATACTCATCAGTCAGGATTGGGATGTACAAAAAAGTATCCCAAAAAGAGCAGAGCTGCATAAACACTATATTAATACAATTGTGTGTACTCTGGGGTGTATTTTATAAAAAAACGTGCAGTTATTTATCCTATGAAACTGCACGTACATCTGTTCGGTGCAAATGTTACTAGGCTATCATCTCTCCTGGTAAATTAGGAAAATACCACATTATAGCCACTAGATGGAGCTGAAAAAAATATTACTTTTCTTGGTTATCAGCTCCATCTAGTGGCTGTAATGCAGTATTACCTTATGAATGAAGAACATTCAATATGGAGAAAAACTAGTACATTCAATTTGGCCAGCATTTACACAAAACAAATCTACATGAAGTTTCACAGGATGGGTAGCGCTACAATTTAAAAAAATAAATACACCCCTATATGTCATAACACTGCATTCATCACACCACCAAGAGGCTCTATATATGTTTGGACTTGCTGCTCTTAGGGTTGGGGTTTAGAAGTGTGCCTGAAAAATAACCGAATTGAAATAAGTCATCTACATAAGTCTTGAATCCCAACTGTATTTGTAGCAGCAGCAACACCTACACCCTCCTGTACAGGGACCTGTCAGATTAGGTAGACCAGAACAAGCATGCATGTCGAGTTCGGACTTCACTGGCTGCATGCTGTTTTGAAATAAAATGAAGAAGAAGGGGATAATCTTGGAGAATTCTTTTCTTTTAGTTTTGGATGGATTGGGGGGGGTCCTTGTCAGGTTCTATCACTCTCTGTGTCCCATTGGCATGACCCAACAACTCCTCACCATGAGTCCTATCCTTCTGCTCTCTCTGCCCTTTCATTAGGGGCTGCCATTCAGGCAAAGCATCATTGGTCAGCTGTGTCCAATCATCACTTTGTTGTCATGTGATCTGCAGCAGCCCCCATGTCTTCAGCTCTGCTGATCGCTAAGGGCGAGTCCAGGAAGGTCTGTGTTTGGCTCAGATCACATGGCCTGCAATTTCTATGCTAAATATACTGTATGTGTGTGTGTATATATATATATATATATATATATATATACACACACACACACACACACTATACTGCTATTAAAGCAACACTTTGAAAACACATCAGATTTCAATGGGACAAATCTCCTGCTGCATAACTATACTGATAAGGACTGTGTAATGTGTTAGAAACGTAAAGATGCCCCAGAGGACTGAATTCAAAGACACAGCGAAAATCAAAAGGGAAAAAAATGATGCAGCAGGCAAGTCCATTTTGCTGAAATTTAATTGCAGCAACTCAGAATGGTCCTCAGTAGTTTGTATGGCCCCCCACGTGCTTGTATGCATGCCTGACAACCTCGGGGCATACTCCTAATGAGGCCACGGATGGTGTCCTGGGGGATTTCCTCCCAGATCTGGACCAGGGCATCACTGAGCTCTTGGACAGTCTAAGGTGCAACCTGGTGGTGTCAGATGGACCGAAACATGACATCCCAGAGGTGTTCTATTGGATTTAGGTCAGGAGCGCGTGGGGGACATTCAATGGTACCAATTCCTTCATTCCCCAGGAACTGCCTGCATACTCTTGCCACATGAGGCCGGGCATTGTCGTGCCCCAGAACCCACAATGGGTCCAAGGATTTCATCCTGATACCTAATGGCGTTCAGGGTACCATTGTCTAGCCTGTAGAGGTCTGGCGTCCCTCCATGGATATGTCTCCCCAGACCATCACTGACCCACCACCAGAACGGTCATGCTGAACGATGTTACAGGCAGCAGAACGTTCTCCACGGCTTCTCCTGACCCTTTCACGTCTGTCACATGTGCTCAGGGTGAACCTGCTCTCATCTGTGAAAAGCACAGGGCGCCAGTGGTGGACCTGCCAATTCTGGTGTTCAATGACAAATGCCAATCCAGCTCTATGGTGCCGGGCAGTGAGCACAGGGCCACGAGAGGACGTCGGGCCCTCAGGCCACCCTCATGAAGTCTGTTTCTGATTGTTTGGTCAGAGACATTCACACCAGTGGACTGCTGGAGGTCATTTTGTAGGGCTCTGGCAGGGCTCATCCTGTTCCTCCTTGCACAAAGGAGCAGATACCGGTCCTGCTGATGGGTTAAGGACCTTCTACGGCCCTGTCCAGCCCTCCTAGAGGAACTGCCTGTCTCCTGGAATCTCCTCCATGCACTTGAGACTGTGCTGAGAGACACAGCAAACCTTCTGGCAATGTTACGTATTGATGTGTCATCCTGGAGGAGTTGGACTGCCTGTGCAACCTCTGTAGGGTCCAGGTATGGCCTCATGCTACCAGGAGTGACACTGACCCTAGCCAAATGCAAAACTAGTGAAAAAGTCAGAAAAGATGAGTAGAGAAAAAAATTTAATTGGCCTCCACCTGTAAAACCGTTCATGTATTGGTGGTCATCTCATTGTTGCCTATCTAGTGCACCTGTTGTTAATTTCATGAACACCAAAGCAGCTGAAACTGATTACCACCCCCCTTTGCTACTTACCTGACCAGATCAACATCCCAGGAGTTTCACTGACTTGATGCTAGACTCGGATTAAAAAGTTTTGTGTGTGTGTCTGTGTGCACTCAATATAGTCAATGAAAAACTCCCTCTGGAGAAAACCTAATATATGTGTATGTCAGTTTATATATACAATATCTCCCAGAAGTGAGTCCACCCCTCACATTTTTGTAAATATTTGATTCTATCTTTTCATGTGACAACACTGAAGAAATGACACTTTGCTACAATGTGACGTAGTCAGTGTACAGCTTGTATAACATGTAAATTTGCTGTCCCCTCAAAAAATAACTCAACACACCGCCATTCATGTCTAAACCGCTGGCAACCGCTGTCGCACGAATTTCCAACAGCAGTCACACTGCTGGTGATATGTTGTACTTACCTTAATCAATTGTCCTGATTGTGTTTTGTGCTACTGTTTATTATATAAGGGGGAAAAGAGGGGTGGAGGCTGTCAATAATTCTTTACCTGATTTTAACTTTAGATCAATCACATGATGAAAAATGACTGCTTATTGGTTGATATGGAACATTGCTATATACACATAGCCTTTGCTTTATTCAATAAAGTCAGTGTGGTTGATGCAGATATATCATGGAACTTGTGCAGTCAGAATAGAAGAACTACATCTGCTAGCAAGGTGACCTTTTCTATGGCTGCTGTATGCAAGGATCCCAAAAAGTCCATTCAGTGCTCTGCCTCTTCCCCTATACAACCTGGATCAGATGCCCAGAGCTTAGCTTGAATAGAACAATGCCTGATTCATTGACTACTAGAAACTCTGGTCTGGCTTACTTGTCCTCCCCGACCACCATCATCCAACTCTTAAGAGTGATGTCCATCAATGTCCTCTTCTGCTGGACCACCATCATCCAGCTCCCAACAAAGATGTCCATCAATGGCCTCCTCTTCCACTGGACCACCATCATCCAGTTCTAAATCACGATGTCCATCAATGTCCTCCTCTTCCGCTGAACCACCATCATCCAGCTTTCAATAGCGATACCCATCAATGTCCTCCTCTGCCACTGGACCATCATTATACAACTGTCAACATCAATGTCCTTCTCCTCCGCTGGTCCATCATCATCCAGCTCTCAATAGCGATGTCCATCAATGTCCTCATCCTCTCCTGGACCACCATCGTCCAGCTCTCAATAGTGATGTCCATCAATGTCCTCATCCTCTCCTGGCCCACCATCGTCCAGCTCTCAATAGCAATGTCCATTAATGTCCTCCTTTCCTGGACCATCATCATCCAGCTATCAAGAGCAATGTCCATCAATAGCCTTCTCAGCAACACATAACAAACCAAATTTCACCCAGCCTCAGGCTTCAAATTCGGGAATACAGTGCCTGTTAACAGACTCTGAACACCCCAAACTCATTTTAACAGTCTACAAATAATGCTTGGGTAACCTCAGCCATATGAGGCCTATAATGCTTCCCACCCTGTAGTACATGCTCTATGAATTCCATATGGAGACTGATGACACTGAGGAACACTAGCTGGGGCAGTTAGACTCCTGGGTGGCTCAGTCAGTTAATCACCAGACAGTTCCCTATTGTTTTGGAGAACTGGGTTTGAATCCCACCGCTGATGTGCTATGTTAAGTTGAGGATGGTTGGAGAGTATTGCATCTAATTTATTCCCACGTCTTGTGTTATGTAGACCTGATGAGGACATTGAGATGCTTTGCTGTTTAGGCTGAGAGTTGGCTCAGAGGGTTAGTAGCCAAGAGCTGATCCAGCAGTGGTGTTGGAGTTCCTGGTTCTGGTCTCGGTGCGGTCTCCTTGGAATAGTCACTAATCCAATGGGGATGACTAGGACTATACAATATAAAAGTGGCTGCCTGGCAGCCACTATAAAGGAGGGTCTTACTTTTCTGTGGTCCGAGAAACTCCCAGCTGTAGGGGCTTTTCTACAGCTGGGAGCCCAGTGATAAAGTGACCTGTGGGGATTCGATCCAGGGTCTCCAGCATGAGAGGCAGAGCAGCTACCCCCTGAGCCAGCTGGCTGCCCGCCCTGATACTGGATGGTGTCGGTAGTGAGTATTGACATTTGGGATCAGATAGAGGACCAGCAAACCAGGCCAGAGATACTGGTGGACACTGAAGGTATTGCAGGAATTGAAAAGAACTTGCAGAGATGGCTTTCTGAAAATGTTGGTTACCCGGCTGTCATGACCATGTTCTATATCACCGGCCCCAAACAAGGAAGCAAACCAGGCTACCTCCAGATCAGAACCGATTACAACCCTGGGATTGGCAAATTCAAAACTACAAGTCAACAATCCATATCTCTCTGTTGACTCTTTTCCATGTAACTAAAACCATGTATTAAAGTGTGTCCCGACCAAAAATGTTTTGAGTTTAAATGGAGCGTGGAACGATTACAACCTCTCATAGGTTTTTATTATGATCTCTGTCCATATTGTCATCAGGATAGGAAGTGATGGGAAATCCTTCCATTTACAATTATCACCAGAACCGGAATAGAGGTTAAAATTTCTAATGGGGACACTAGTTGTTCCAGTGTCAAGTGTTGATCACGTTGTACAACTTTTCTTATCACTTCCTATTGTGTACTGTAGAAGAGGAAGTAAAGGGAGGAAAATCACCCCCAATGGAACACGGAGAGAATAAAAATACTGGCAAGGCTCCACACTCCACCAAAAAAAAAAAAAGTTTTGCTTTTACATACACTCCCAAAGAGAAACTTATGCAGGCCATAGACGGTTCGTTTATCGGCCAATTTTTTGCCCGAAAGAATAATCCACCGACTGTTGTACTGTTGCCCACTACGCAATGGCATCGGCCGATTTTCACGGTTGCTCCTCATTTCTTTTTTCAGTCATGCTGAAAACTTTGTGGAAAATGACTGTTTTTGACAATCATTGGTGGCAACAGAGTGACTGATGTCTCATTTTTCGGACCAAAAATCAGCCCATAAACGAACAGTCTGTGGCCTGCATTATACTTCCAATTATTTTTTTCACTGGGTGATCTCCACTCACCGGCCACTTTTTTAGGTTCACCTTGCTAGTACCGGTTTGGACCCCCTTTTGCCTTCAGAATTACCTTCATTCTTCATGCCATAGATTCAACAAGGTGTTGGAAACATTCCTCAGAGATTTTGGTCCATATTGCCATGAGTTACTGTTGCCTTTCTGTCATCTTGAACCAGTCTGTTCATTCTCCTCTGACATCAACAAGGCATTTTTATCCGCATAACTGACACTCACTGGATATTTTCTCTTTTTTTTCTCTGTAAACCCTAGAGATGGTTGTGCACGAAAATCCCAGTAGATCAGCAGTTTTTTAAATACTCAGATCAGCCCCTCTGACACCAACAACCATGCCATGTTCAAAGTCACTTAAATCCCCTTTCTTCCCCATTCTGATGCTCTGTTTTTGAACTTCAGCAAGTCATCTTCACCACATCTAGATGCCTAAATGCCATGTGATTGGCTGATTAACAATTTGTGTTACCAACCAATTGAACAGATATACCTAATAAAGTGGTCGGTGAGTGTACTCTCATGCCCAGTGAATCCAGCATTGTTCTACTGTAATCCACCGCTACGCATCCCTGTCCCACGCCGGCATCTAACATCTCACTCTCTCTTTCTGGTTCTTGCATCTTGCATTTGGCCCCACTAAATCCTCCACTCCTCCCCTAGGTGTGGAGAAAAAAAAAAAAAAAAGGTAAATAAAGACAAAAATGGCTTATTTATATTGTGAAGGGAGGGGCACGATATGTGCTCATTGTTTACAACGGTCATGTGATCACTGCGATTGGTCACAGCAATCACATGGTACCAGAGCCGGCCCAGTAAAATAATCGACTGGACATAATGAGTGACAGATTGAGCCACAGTGTGGTCACTAGAACGTGTAACAGGCTTGTGACTGAGACATCCACACAGGATGGGAAAGCACCCTAATGGCCGTCATTTTGCTATAGGCCGGGTGGGATGCAGATAAGTATCTATTATTTTTTACTCAGATGTGTGCGTTGCAGTGTGTTGGGCCCTCAATGCACACCCATATATCAGAAAACACTCACAACCCCACTGAAGAGCAATGGGAGCACTGCAGAACACGTGTGAGTAACCTGCTGGTGCATGATGTGCATCATACCAATCGCTCCCATGAACCAGGCTTAAAGGAATAGTCTACTTTCTGACCCAGCCAATCCCCCCCCCCCCCAAAATTCTAGTACATAAGCAACGGAAACAGATGACTGAAGATGAGACACAGAAGATACAACATCTAAGTAAAGATTCGTTCACACAGGAGTACTGAACCATACACACGTGTGGGATTCAAATGTGTTCCGTGTAGCTCGCCTGTTCCAATCAATAACAAGCGGCCGACTGCACAGATCTCCAAGAACATCCCAGAATGGACATCTGTGCAGGACCGATTCATGGATCACAATGCAGACAGACTGAATCCTGATCCGTGTATCAGGCCCGCATGGATGTACACCCTGGGATACGCTTAGAGATCTGTGCCAGCCTGTGTAGCCAGCCACCCGTCAATGATTTGAACAGGCCATCTGCACAGAACACCGGTGCATCCCGCGGGTAAATGGCCCTTCACACACAGGTATGGATCAGTAGGCTAGTGTGAACTTATGCCCTGAGGGCTAGTTCACACCACATGCAGTCCAGTGCTTTTTTTTCTGCATCCAAAACGCATAGAAAGTAGGTTACATGGTTTTCAATGGCTTAGTTCACACCAGTGCTTGCAGTTCCAGTGCATTCTGATTCCAGAACAAAAAAAAATAGAACTGTACTGGTTCTACTGTACTGGAATGCGGTAAAACGCGTCAAAAACACACCGAACCCCAGTACACTGGGGAAAGAAAAAAACAGAAAGAAAAAGAAGAAAAAAAAAATCATCTGGAAATGCAACAAAAATGCACCGGAATGCATTAAAAACACACATGCAAACCGCATCCGGAATGATCTGGAGAGCGTTTTTGTGGCATGAACCGGCCCTTACAGAAAAAGTCCTCAATGATGTCATCGACTAACCAGAACTTTCTCTAGAGAAGACAGGGCCTCTTTATTCTCCGTTGTTGGGTGTGTCTTGGAAGGCTCTTTGGGTATTTGTGTTGACCAATCATAAGTCCAGAGTCCCGGTCTGACCTTCAGATCTCTCTGGCGGGAGTCCGGGGTGAAGACCCCAATGAGGCGTCCGCTAGAATCAAATATCTCCTCCTGTTTGTTACATCTCTCCATTAGACTTGTGTTGAGGGATACTGGACGTGTCTTATCATTGTCCACCTTTGTCTGTGTCGCCGCGTCTTTTCTCAGGAAGCCGGGCTTGGACGTGCTGACGTTTTCACATCCCGGGGCGTACGTCCCTATGACTTCCAGGCCCACGTGGGCTTTTCTGGCCTGTGGAGAGAAGGTCTTCCAATCCGAGGACAGCTTGGGATAGACCCCAGGGAAGACGGTCGGTATGGCGTCATGTTTCAGTACCAGCCGGCAGCCCACTGTGGTGTAGCAGCCCGGATCGAAATGGGCTGAGCAGATTCTGTATTTACCTGTTTTTGCCGCTTCTAGAATTTTGGCAGCGAAAGCGTCGATATCATCAAAGTTCTGACTGGTCTGCTGAAGCCAGAGCTTTATCCGGCCGAGCTCCCGTGGGAAGACGTGCATAGTGAGAAGAGGGTTGGAGGACTTCATGCTGGTGTGGTGCTTACAGCCCTTCACGATGCAGCTCGGCATGGCGGCGGCCTGGGAGGGAGGAGATTAAATACGTCTTATAACAGGTCATGAATCAACAAATACATATTTATGTGTTTATTAAAGCTGCACTCTAGGTAAACATTATATATATATATATATATATAATATACACATACATATACACACACACACACACACACACACACACATATACATACATACATACATACATACACACACACACACACACACACACACACATATATACATACATACATACACACACACACACACACATACACACAACCATTAACCACTTCAAAACCAGACTGTCCCCCCCCCCCCCTCCCCTCCCTCCCAGGCAATTTTTCAGATTTCAGTGCTGCCACACTTTGAATGACAATTACTCAGTCATGCAACATTGCACCCAAATTAATTGTATATCATTTTTTCAGACAGATCAGATTTTTTTGGTGGTATTTATTCACCACTGAGTTTTTTTTTAATTTTTTTGCTATATAAAAAGCGGAAAAAAAGACAAACATTTACAGAAAAAAAAAGTTTTTCTTAATTTTTGTAAAAATCTTTTGTACGTACAATGAAGGAAATGCGTATTTGCTCCCCTGCTGATTTTGAATGTTTGCCCCTCACAAAGAAATGATCGGTCTAAAAATCGAATGTTCGGTGTATTGTAACACTGAGAGACAGAATAGCAACACAAAATTCAGCAGAAATGCATGTCTAACAAATGATGACTGATCTGCATGTTCATGAGGGAAATAAGTATTTGATCCCCTATCATTCAGCAGGATTTCTGGCTCCCAGGTGTCTTTCATACAGGTAACAAGCTGAGATTAGAAGCAGTCTCTTAAAGGGAGTGCTGCTAATCTCATTTTGTTACCTGTATAAAAGACGCCTGTACACAGGAGCAATCAAACCATCAGATTCCAAACTCTCCACCATGGCAAAGACCAAAGAGTTGTCCAAGGATGTCAGGGACAAGATTGTAGACCTACACAAGGCTGGACTGGGCTACCAAACAATGGCCAAGCAGCTTGGTGAGAAGGTGACAACAGTTGATGCAATCAAACATGGTGGTGGAAAGAAACTGGCCAGGATGTACAGGAAGCTGAAGAAAGGAAGAACAAGAGTGGTCCTATGGTTCCAGGAGTGCAGTTGTGCCTTGCAGGAACGTAGTCAGTGGGACATGCAGATGGGTCAGTTCAGGTGGCGGGCAGAGACGTGATCAGCAACTGGGCAAAGTACTGGTCCAGGCAGCAGTTAGAAATGTGATTAATAAACAAGCCAGGCTCAGGTGCAGCGGTGATCGGGGGCGCCGAGACAGGTGCGGCGGTGATCGGGGCGCCGAGACAGGTGCGGCGGTGATCGGGGGCGCCGAGACAGGTGCGGCGGTGATCGGGGGCGCCGAGACAGGTGCGGCGGTGATCGGGGGCGCCGAGACAGGTGCGGCGGTGATCGGGGGCGCCGAGACAGGTGCGGCGGTGATCGGGGGCGCCGAGACAGGTGCGGCGATGATCGGAGACGTTGAGACAGGTGCGGCCGTGATCGGGGGCGCCGAGACAGGTGCGGCGGTGATCGGGGGCGCCGAGACAGGTGTGGCCGTGATCGGGGGCGCCGAGATAGGTGCGGCGGTGATCGGGGGCGCCGAGAGAGGTGCGGCCGGTGATCGTGGGCGCCGAGACAGGTGCGGCGGTGATCGGGGGCGCCGAGACAGGTGCGGCAGTGATCGGGGGCGCCGAGACAGGTGCGGCGGTGAGCGGGGGCGCCGAGACAGGTGCGGCAATGACTTTTGGTAAAGGTAAACTAACCCTTTAGGATTGAACCTTAGTTGCTCCGGCTATCCAGTACTACAAATCCCAGCATGCCCTGCGCCCATAGAGCATGCTGGAAATTCTAGTTCTTCCCATTGTCCATCATTCCTCTCCTAGATCCATAACATTATCTGCCTAAAAAAATGCTGACCACCACAAGGAGTCTCACCCCTTCCGCCCCCAACATACTGAACCACAGGGACCCCTGACAGCCCACACATGACAGACCTGCAGCAGCCAGGACCGGACCGGAAGTGCCTCTGTTATTACAGCATAGGAAGTCAGGGCTGGCCGCACAGCATGCTGGAAGTAATATAGCCTGGACCTCCTATAAAATGGGAATAAATGTCCTATAATTCCATCACCATAGAGATGGAGAAAAGTCCGAGTGTCTCCGACATGGCAGAGATTTTGGTCTCCAAAAAAAATGGCCGAACAATGCAGCCAATATAACGCTTACTTGAGGACATAGCGCCCTCTGGCAGCATTGTTCGGCCATTGCTTTGGGGTCTCCAAAGTGTAGTAAGGACAAAAGACAGCAGGTGGCGCTGCTGTGCTAAGGCTTTGTAGTTACACGCGGAAAAGCGGCAGGTGGCGCTGTTGTGATATGCCATTGTAGTTACAAGCAGAGAAGCAGCAGGTGGCGCTGTTGTTCCATATTGTAGCTGTAAGCAGAGAAGCAGCAGGTGACGCTGTTGTGCTGTCATTGTAGTTACAAGCAGAGAAGCAGCAGGTGACGCTGTTGTACCATGTCGTTGTAGTTACAAGCAGATAAGCAACAGGTGGCGCTGTTGTGCTATGTCAATGTAGTTGCAAGCAGTGAAGCAGCAGGTGGCGCTGTTGTACCATGTTGTTGTAGTTACAAGCAGAGAAGCAACAGGTGGCGCTGTTGTGCTGTCATTGTAGTTACAAGCAGAGAAGCAGCAGGTGGCGCTGTTGTGACATGTCATTGTAGTTACAAGCAGAGAAGCAGCAGGTGGCGCTGTTGTGCTATGTTAATGTAGTTACAAGCAGAGAAGCAGCAGGTGACGCTGTTGTACCATGTCGTTGTAGTTACAAGCAGATAAGCAACAGGTGGCGCTGTTGTGATATGTCATTGTAGTTACAAGCAGAGAAGCAGCAGGTGGCGCTGTTGTGACATGTCATTGTAGGTACAAGCAGAGAAGCAGCAGGTGGACGTTGTTGTGACATGTCATTGTAGGTACAAGCAGAGAAGCAGCAGGTGGCGCTGTTGTGACATGTCACTGTAGGTACAAGGAGAGAAGCAGCAGGTGGCGCTGTTGTGATGTCATTGCAGTTACACGGAGAACAGCAAACTGCATATAAAAGATACACGGAGCTGCTGTGCCAATCTGTATTACTAACCTAAGGACACCAGATGTCGCTGTTGCAGTATTTTTCTGCTTTGCAGTATTGCGGCCAGTACTGATAAGAGAAGCTAGGGGGCTCTGCATGTTAAAACCGATTAAAAGGGATTGAACCATTTTATTATTTTATTTATTATATTACATTTGATACACCTGGATATAAAATGTATCCACTTCAGTCCCAACTCCTTTTGTGCTTCTTTCTGTGACTGAGAGACAACACAAATTCATTCAGGTGAAGAAGGATATGAGAAATATGACATTAGGGGGGAGGATGCTGCCCATGTACATATTTTACACTTTTTTCTGTAATTATAAATTAGTGGCAGATTGCAGGGGGTGTGGCTCAGACAGCGACATAACGTGAAATTGCTGTACTTGTATTCCCAGAAATGCTGGATGAAGAGTTGAAAGCAGTATTAAACCCAAAAGCAAAAGTTGTACCATGTCATTGTAGTTACAGGGAGGACAGCAGCAGGTGGCGCTGTTGTTCTGTCATTGTAGTTACATAGAGAAAATCAGCAGGTGGAGCTGTTGTTCTATGTCATTGTAGTTAGAGAATATCAGCAGGTGGCGCTATTGTACAGTCATTGTAATTAGAGAAAATCAGCAGATGGTGCTCTTGTACAATGTCATTTAGTTACAAAAAGAGGCAGCAGGTGGCGCTGCTGTACTGTCATTGTAGTTACACGAAGCAGCAACAGGTGAAGCTGTTGTACCATGTCATTGTAGTAACATGGAGAGAAGCAACAGGTGGCGCTGTTGTACTATGTCGTTGTAGTTACAGGGACAGAAGCAACAGGTGGCGCTGTTGTAGTATGTGATTGTAGTTACTAAGCGGAAAGCAGCAGGTGGCGCTATTGTACTATGTCATTGTAGTTACGCAGCAGAAAGCAGCAGGTGGCGCTGTTGCAAACTGCATATAGAAGATATACGGAGTTGCTGCTCTAATCTGTAATTCCAATATATGGAAACCAGATGTCGCTGTTGCAGGATTTTTCTGCTAATGTATTGCAGCCAGTACTGATAAGGGGAGCACTAGAACAGAGATGGGCAACCAACCAAAAAATAAGTCAGCAAATACAAAAACTGTAGCTGGCAATTTTAAGCAAAACAGACACTCACCTGTCCCTCAATCCAGAGGTGTTCTCACCAAAGTTGGTTTCATTGGCTGTCCTTGCGCCCCGGCATATTAAGTGTAGGCACCTGGCTGTGACAGCTTGCGGCTGCACAGCCGGGTGCCCACTGCACTGTGAAGCGCTGCACCTTGTGAATGGTCTTGTAGTCTTCTGGGACCTGTCACGTGTCCCAGAAAACTACATGGGGGGAGGGGGTTTGGGGGAGAACCTCCACTTTCGTTCGCCTAGGTCAGGGGTGGGCAACTGCGGCCCTCCAGCTGTCATGGAACTACATGTCCCATGAGGCATTGAAAGGCTGATAGTTGCATCATGACTCGCAGAGGCATGATGGGACTTGTAGTTCCACAACAGCTGGAGGGCCACAGTTTGCCCACCCCTGGCCTAGGTGAAGAAAACACATCTTAACTATGGGGTTTTACACCCCCAAGCTGCAAATGTGAATGATCCCTTACTGTTCTGAGCACCCTATAAGGCTGCTTTCACACTGATGTGCTGCGGTTTACCTGCACTGTGCAGCGCATCTGTAACGTTTCAGGGTTATCTGCGCTTAGCCATAGACTTCTATTATATCCTGCAGGTGTGGTGGGCTTTCAGAAAATGCACCAAACCCGCAGGATATAATAGAAGTCTATGGCTAAGCACAGCAAACCTACAGGAAAGTTGCAGGTACACTAGGTAACCCGCAGCACATCAGCGTGAAA